TACTAAAAATCGAGAAACCGAGGAACTAGCCTCTCCGCAGCTAATCTAGTAATGCACTGCGCGAAAATATCCCGAGAACCACCCCGACACACGCCGAGCCGCGGAGAAAATAAACAACCCCCTCGCACACTGCATCCTCGAAAATCACATTAACCCAGGCGACTGGAAACGTGTCTAACTGCTTCTGCCCGCTTTTGTCTACTTCTGTCTACTTCTGCGCTTCCTCCGCGCGGATATAACAACGCGCTTGGGCAGCGGAAGCGGATTGCAGACACCCTAATCTGATATTTCGACGCAAGGGAAGCGAATATTAATGTCGGTCCGTGGCGAGCAAAGGCGGATGGGATGCCGCGGTGTGTACGCTTTCATCCGACCACCAGCCGAGACCTACGTAATCCGCAGGCACCCCATAAGGCTAATGAGTCACGCGGACCTCGTGGACAACCATCCACGCCGTAGACAACCGCGACAGGTAGAGCGTTAAGAGTCTCAGCTCTAATAGCTTTCGCGGAAGCACCGGCAGGCAAGCAGCTCGAATGCTCCAACGATTATCGCCAAGAGGTTTCCCTCAGGAGGAGCCGAGTTTTTCGGCACGCGGCAGCTATCTGGAGCGGAACGTTTGCACGGTACGTAGGGTATATCTGGGAATTAAGGTGGCTCCGGTGCGTATCGCGGTGTAAGCCGCTTTATCAAGCCACTCGAGTGTATTAAAACACGTGATGGGTCCGATCTCGACGAGATCGATCCTCGTCGAGATAGCAGGATTCGAATGTTGGTCACGAGCTGCAACGTGGCTCGGTTCAAATTAGAGGTTAGGTCGGCAGACGAAGATGTTTAGGAAATGAATTATTCGAATTACGCGGAATTTTGATGGTAAACTAGAATTTACATGATCGATGGTGTCCCGTGATTTGGATATCGCGAGAAATTATTTTTAAGATTTTTAGGTGAATTTTGATATGAGAATGAGATTACAATTTTGTAACGATTATCGCTGTCACAGAGTCTAAGATTCGCTTGGTAATTTGTAATTATTATGAACCTGTAGAGCTAGGTAAAATTGATGGTAATGCGAGAAGTGTTGAAAATTGAGTCACCCTTTTGGAATGTCAAGTAGAAAAATTGTTAAATCTGGTAGTTGAGAGTGAAATATGGTTCGGGCCGAAGCGAGCACCACCTTCGACCACTATGCAGGGGACATTCAAGTGTCGTTATGCAGAAAGGGATTTGCACAGGGTATCAACTCGGTGTTTTAAGTCTTCATGCAAATGCGAATGGAAACGTTGAAAAGTAATAATGAAAGCTGATTGTGTATCGAATAGAATTTCGACGTGGTACGCGCAACGTGGCAGAATTTATTGAGAGATTAACACCCACCATGTGTAATATCAAAGTATTACGATCCTTATCTGTAGACTGTCTAGACGTTTCTGTGACTCATAGAGACTCCGGAGAACATTGAGCACGTTCGAAGAGACACGTGAGAAAAGCGAAATATCCTGCTTGGATCAATTATGCTCGGAATTGCGAACGAAAATTGTTTCCATTTTCTTCTTACCTACCGTTTTTGCCCGCTCCATGCGATGGTAAAGAGTCGATAATTATAGTTCGCTTGCTGGATAATTATCGATACGTGTTTGATTATAATTGCGAATGGGATGAAATTTGAAACCGAATGCCAATAAATGACGAATTAATTTGAATAAAATTGAATAATTTGCTGTCGGTTCGATTCTGCAAAGATCGAGCGCGCTAGTGTTTCAGAGAAAAAACCTACGCGGTCCGCCGACAGATGGAAGCACGCTATCGGTGCATCTCCTCTTCTCGTTCACCCTTCTTGCTCCACCTATGCAACGCCAAACACAATACCCTACGTTGCTCATTCGTTGCACCTGATTGAACAGTTCGCTGTTATCGAACCGTTCTTTGCGATAACTTTGAATTAATTATGCGAATAAACGGATACAAAATTATTACGTAATCGCGTGATAAATTAAAAAAAAGACATTAAAGATTCTCGAACAATTATCTCCAGATAAAAAATCAATCGTCATAGGTCTGTCATTATTTATAATTTATTACAGAACCTGTCACGATGAATCCGATGAATCTAATTAAAATTTTAGTTACATTCACGGATCTTTGTAGGATTGTCAATGTGAAAAAAAATTTTGCATTATGATACGAGGGTTTTATGTTCCCTTTGTAGTCCTTGTTATTCGAAACAGCCCTTTCACCGGAAAAATTACTTTTTTTAATTTTAAAATAATGTTAAAGTACATGGAACAAAATAGTTATATACGTCAATTTATAGACGATTTCTTTTTGTGTTATTATAAAAAATGGTACCAATTTTATGGCAAACGAGCTTTGTACTTAGCAAAGGAATCTCCAAATTTCAAGAATAAATATTTCATCTTAATTGTTCATCGTTTACCATCGAATCATTCATATATCGACAAAAAGGGGGAAAAATGAACACGTTCAAAATCTCCAATTCTTAATTCATCGCAAAATTATCTATTTTGTTATCAAAGTGCGAAAACGTGTCAAAAATAGACTTCATTTTCGGCTTTCATAATATACTTTCAAAATATCGAACATTCCACAGACTACTCGGTGCATATCAGACGTGACTCGACTCTCGATGCCCGTCTAGTACACTCCAATTACATAGTCGATGCATCTACGACTCGGTCGGTGGCCATGGAGTGCGCCCTCGATCTGACGGAGCGCTCGGAGTACTCCCACGACGGGCGCCCAATTTTCCGCGAGCACCCGATGCACTCGAGATACATGGCGGAGGCCACAGGTATTCGCCTCCCTCCGTCACGCCGCACACTTTTTCTCCCCCACGCATTCCACGGGATCGAGTGGCCCCGAAGGGCCACGACCCACGCGCCGCGACGCGGCCGCGCCGCTTCGGCGCTCAAAGTCGAATGACGATCGCGCCCCCACCACCCACGCAACCGTCGCGCGCGGCACGCTCGTCCTCGGGCCAGTCGCGTGGAGGGGGTGAAACGCGGCCAATCAGCGCGCGTACGTCGTACGCCGCGTCGAATCTCGGTCACGTGATTGGCGGCCGCCGATTCTTCGTCTCGCTCGCAGTCGCAGTCGAGCAGCGTCGGTCTCGTGGGTCTGGTCGGGTCTTTCCTCGCGATCCTCGCGCTGTCTTTGTCTCTCCCTCCAAAGGGTAAGTCCCTTCGTCCTTTACTCGTCTCTTCTCCCCATCCTCGCCACGGTCTACACGTCTCTGTCTCGCTCGAAAAGGACAAGAGTACGGACCTCGGCGCGATCCTCGTCGCACCTATCACGCTTCTACGAACTCCTGGGCTTGCTTCCCCCACCTGGCCGCCCTTTACACGCTCGCCCGTTTCCTACCCTTTGTAGGGCGGCAGAGTTCAGCGGCTGGAATACTTTGGCTGGCTTCGCTCGGCGCCGGAACCATCCGCGCGCCGGCTCTGCTGATTATCTTCCCGCCGAGCCTTTGACACGTCTGTACTCTCGACCAGAGATACTCCGTAGATAGCTCTGGGATCGGTGTATATACGAGCTGGTTCGAGTGACGCTGTGCCAGGCGATTCGTTATCGGGGAAACGCTTCTTGTTGCGGAAATGGAATAGGAACTGGGGAACTGCGACGCGATGTTTTCTACGCAGCAAGAACGTCTAACCCGAGTCTCGGGTCGTTGATACCGCTCGCATCTACAATTTCGGAGCATGCATTGGCGCCAACCAGATTTCGATATTTTCCCTCGCAATTAGAACACCGTTCTACTTGTTATTCGAAAAATTTTTGAAAAATTCCAGCGAGAGTTCGGCGTTGTATTCTGCGAAACCTCGTAATGGCGATTTCTCGTGCTCGAAATGGGAATGGAGGGCGCGATAAGCGACGGGTTCTATCGGATCGGGTATCAATTACGGAGCGGTTGCGTGGTATCCGAAGAAATACTACGTATCCGCGTTTCGTGCCGGGCATACGTGCACGTATGCGCGAGATAAATGCCGCGGCGCGCGTTTAATCGGTCGCACAAGTAGAAAGAGTAATTTCGAAAGACCGGTGGAGGGAGTAGGAGGCACGTGCCAGTGGTGCGCGCGTGCGTCAGTCCGCACTCGACGCACGGTGGCACTCGGCTATTTTCGAAGAACGTGATATAAGTCCCGATGACGTTCGTGCCCGTCCGTGTGTACGTGCGTCCCTGTCTAGAAATTACCATTGCCACTTCTCGATCGCGACGCCGTACCGAGCAGCCGGTTCTAATGACCTTTCGACGCGCGATACGCGTCACGAGACTAATCGCCTCTCCCGGGGAAAACACTGCACGGCATTGTTCCTTATCGCTCTTAGCCGACGACCGTGCACGTACCACTCCCACCCGGGGTGTACCCTTCAACCCCTAACGATTTTCCCGACCTCCATTCCCACGCAAATTTCCTTTGGAAATTTTCCACGATTTTTTAACTTGCTCGTTTTATCGCCGTTGCCAAATACGCGACGCGGGAAGGCAACGATCGATAAAAAGATAGAGGGATTAAGAAGATTCCCGAAGCTTATCTCCCGTGATTCCGTGTTGGGAAGAAAATCTCTTTAGACTGGGAAATTTTTTCGCTTCCCAGGCCAAGTCCGAACGCGAATCCGGAGATAACCGATAGATAGGAAATGGCGGCGGGCGAGGACGGACGGCGAGGTGCATTTTCCCGAGAAAAAATGAAAGAAAGGAGGGAAAAAGAGGCGATGACAGTGCACGAAAATCCGATCGATCGGAGTCCGGGAGTCGCGTCTGGTGGGGGTTCGCGCGAGGCAACCCGCCACGGTCGTCGGTTCAGGGCACGAAGGAGGGGGTTCAAGCTCTAGGTGGGGGCTCTTAAAGGCAACCGGGTGCCGTCCGACCGTCGGAATTCGGTGGTGGAAGGGAAGTCCAGGTTAAACCGTCACGCGCTATCCCCTCCTGTGTCGGCTGGTCGCCGTTTGCCCCCACCCTTAAGGTGGCAGCGCCTCCACCGGGCATTCCATCGGGTGGCACGCTTCGACGAGACGACAGAAGACGTTCGTCGTTCGTTCAGTCAGTCGTGCTCTGACGCCCGTTCCGAGTGCTCGGAGTTGAGTGAGAGAGAGTTCAACGAGCAAGGGACGTGGAAACGTTCTCTTACTGCGTTCTCTCGTACGAGAAAACAAAGCCAACCCTTCGAATATTCTTCGCTTCTCGGCCGGCCAGTTGCTTGGATTACGCGTGCGGACAATCAGCCTGGCCAGGCGTTCAGTGAACACGCGCTAATTTCGCTACCTTGGATTACCAGTGCAGTGTAGCCCACGACAAATTGTGCAGACGATTTGTCGATTTTCATTGATCTCGTTCTGTGATACAAGAACTGTTCGAGTACCATGGTGACCGGGGTGGGTGCCACGATGCCGACAGGCGGTGTCACCGTCGGTGCTACGCCGCCGGCGCAACACGTGCCCCAGGAGGCTGGACAGCCCCCTGCGCAAACCACCACCACCACCACTACTACGAGAAGATCCGGAGAGAATCGACGGGTTAGTGTCTTCCACGAGCTTTCCAGGCTACGCTGCCTTCTGACAATTTCTTTGCTCGTTTTTCTCTCTTTCGCGAAATCGGGATCCACGAGATCCGAGTCTTTCCGAGTCTCGAGAGGTAGGGTTGAGAAATGGGGGTAGTCGGACTGCACGATGACGATATATGCTAGATTTTTCGAAGACACGATTGTCGACGAGTATCTATACCGGTTGGCCTCGACGATGTTCTATAATTGATAGTATTCCGGGTGGGAAGAATGGCAACGGAGTATCTCATCGACTCTGCACCGTTGCCTAGGTCTCGCGATGGTCCATAAAATCGTACTTACGCCTAATTAAATTCGACGGTATGTTTGACCTGGCAATTCCTTTTCTGTCACAGAGCAATAAACCGATTATGGAAAAACGTCGACGAGCCCGCATTAACAACTGCCTAAACGACCTGAAGACCCTCATACTGGATGCCATGAAAAAAGACGTAAGTATTTCCGACATCGCGCACCTCCAACACTCCCCCGTATATTTCGCTGATTTTCCAAATCTTCCGTCCTCGATTTCCGATCTTCGATCTTGGAACCTCGCTCGCGAGCTAATCGGAAGTCGATATCCGAGCTACGAAGATCTGCTCCGCGACTTTCTACCCCAAATCCGAGCCAGGGGCTTCCCGAACGTTTACATAACCGTTGGGTTATGTTTCTGATTACAGCCAGCGCGACACTCGAAGCTGGAGAAGGCAGACATCCTGGAGATGACGGTGAAACACCTGGAAACGCTCCAGCGTCAACAGGTTGCCCTAGCTGCCGCGACCGATCCGAACGTGTTAAACAAATTCCGCGCTGGTTTCACGGAATGCGCCGGTGAGGTTGGCAGGTTTCCCGGCCTGGACGCCTCGGTGAAGAGACGTTTGATGGCCCACTTGGCCTCCTGCCTTGGACCGGTCGAGGCGAGCAACAACAACGCGCAGACGGCGAATCAGCAGCCTGTCCAACCGGCGCCACCGACCACCCAGCTCCAAGTGCACATTCTGCCGCAAGTGGACGCGACCCCGAGGATCCAGGTTCAACAGTCGAACGGGATCTTCTTCACGAACGCGAACGGCACCGGTCTCCAGCTGGTCCCGACCAGGCTACCTAACGGAGACATAGCCCTGGTGCTGCCAGCCGGTGCAAAAGCGACTCCAGTCACGTCGCCAGCCACGTCTCCGGCGCCAAATTCGCCTGTGCCCACTCTCATCCCGATTCCACAGAGAACAGCCAGCACAGCGTCGGCATCGTCCTCGTCTTCCTCTGCCAGCTCGACGTCCACGTCAGCGGCTAGCCCAGTGGCGTTCGAGGCACCTCCCGCGACGTTCCGTGAGCAGCCAGCGGCCTACACCAACGGTAACAGTCACAGGGATGTCGCGACCTCACCTGCCAATGGCTACACCAGCGATCCAGAGTTCGATCCACGCGTGTACAGTCCATAGGTCGAAGAGAAGCCGTGGAGGCCGTGGTAAAAGGAGCAGGATCGCGGATCTGATTCTCGATCTTGGGTGTTTGATCGTTGGAGTCGAGGAGACACGGACTGACTGCGAGTCGGTCGGTTGGTCGCGGGTGAGAAGGACACAGAGTCTCGAGTGATATTATACGCTTCGGCGGAAGAGACGTGGGTCGATTCGTCGAGAAAAGTCGAGAGAGAAGTCCCGCGGAACACGGATCATTGTTCCTTATCGCGTTTTAGAGGTCGTGTTTTGTCGAGGGGGTGAAAGGTGTCCTGCGAGCTAGGAGATCTTGTCTCCGGAGAACCGTGAGAGTTCGATATTTCCCGAGTGCGTGCAGTCGGCCAGTAGCCTATGAGGCAGTGCCTTATACAGTGCCTTGTACATATTATTTTATTTTATCGTTAAACCGTATTCGTCGATAACCCGGAACTAAAAGGTAATCCCGTTTGCGTCGTGAATTCCGTCTTTCTTCTTTTCCCCTTTGCGCATCTTCGTTTACCACGTCGTCCCTAGTTTCTGCCCGACTTCCTTTTTCCCCCCTTTACCAGGTTTCTCGCCTTCTACTTCGATTCCTTTCTCCTCTTTTGTATATATCGTTAGACGAATATCGTATTTTAAGTGCCTTACGCAACAAGAATCACCGAGGTCTTCCATTCTGTTTCTTGTACGTAAAACGCCGAGCGAGTGTTTCGTCGTGTACCGTGGTTGTAAGTACGAGGAACGTTTGTAAAACTAACCGCGAACCGCCTAGTTTGTAGCTTAGTTAAGCCTGTGCGTGAAAGAGGAGAGCGTGAGAGGCTGCGTGCGCGTGCGTGTATGATCGTCCTAATTTATATTTATATCGAGTGCAGAGAAATGAAATTTATAATTCCTCTCTATCGTGAGAATAGAAAAGATCGACGCTTATCACTGCAAGAGTATCAAATAAATATTGATCTCTTTGTCAAAACTTAACTATGGTCTTATTCATTCGTTTCCTACTTCCCGCTGCCAAGATTACACCGATCTGACAACTATCTCTTTCAACTTCAATTTTTACTTCCTTTCCATCCTTCGGGAATTTTTATTCCGCGTTATTACGTTTTACATTACGATTTCTAATACCGCGTCGAAGGCTCTTGGATCCCATAAAAATCGGCGTAATGCGAAAAGGTGAAGATTAATCGTTGCTTTATTTCTGTTTCGATACTCCTTTATTGCTCCGAAAAGTCGCAGTTCATTCATAGCCGGAGGAAGCATTGTTGGCGAGGAAACAAAGTATAATGCTGGAAGAACATTCCTTCGGTACAAAAGAGGGTCGTACAGGTAGTCGGTACCCTCGAGGACCGTTTCAAAGGGGGTCCCATGCACCATCTGCGCCGCTGCAGCTCTCGATGCAGACTAAGCGAGGACGCGTCGGTGGCTCCGCCGAGGTGCTGCCACCTGAAGGCGAATCTCGGAGGCTCCGCGAGCCAAACCGGTCTTGGGACCCCTTTCGTGGTCCTGGCGCCCGACGTGGGGCCCAAAATCCGCAACTCCGTCGCGCGCAGCCGAAAGCGTGGGTCGCCAAGCGTCTGCTGCCGCCTGGTGGCGGGTGCTGGAACACTGTCAGGCCCTTGGCTCACGAAACTCGCGCCCTTCTCGTCGCCCAGGGACAACAGAGGGCGTCTGCGACTCGATCGGGCGATCCTCGTGACCACGGTTCTTCGCGTGAGTCGTAAAAATACACGAGCAATGGTAAGAAAGAGGTGGCGGATTAGAAATTATCAGGCAACGAGGAGAATCTAATCTAGAGTCTCGCTCCCCCGTCAACGATAACCGATTATCACCATCGACTTTCTCCCGTAATCGACTATGAGTAATTTTCCAGCGAGCCGACCGCGCTTCCGGTTTGGAAAATTCTTCGGATCAGCCGGTGTTTACCTTGCTAAAAATACGTGTCGCGTTTCACGATGCAGGCCTTTATTCCCGAGAAGCTATATTTGCTGTCGCGCATCCAAGATTCCTCGACGAACGTTTAACACGCCCATCGATGCTTGACCATAATCCAAGATCCGCGTCGGTGCATGCGGTTTCGACAGCAGGAAGCGGCCGCAGGAAGTTTTGGACCGTCGTCGTCGTCTAGGTGTCTCGTCTTTTTACAAGGAAACCACGATGCCGGTGCATTAACATAATGCGGCTCTGGTTGGTCGGTGGCGTCTCTGGCACCGCAATTTGCGGCGCAGAAGTGGCGGTGGCTCACGCAATACGCGCCGAATGACAAGTTGCACGGTAGCACCTTATCATTTCTGATCGTGAACCCGGCACTCGGGTCAGACCGAATAACGCTTCGGGCCGTGATATACCTTCGATGGAAGCGTGCAACACACCGTACTCGAGCAAATTGAAAGAAACGCGAGGAATATTCGATCGATGATCCCTCGCGATCGTTGGATCGCCTTGCTCTGTCCTCGTATCGCGAGTCTAGCTGGTCTATCGCGGCGAGCGTGACGCACGCGTTTCTAGGTATAAAAGTGCCGATTTTACACAGCCCGGGACGTTGCATAAGTAGCAGGCACGGGAGTTAGAACTCCTAGTTATCTGCGCGACGGCGAGTTGGTTATCTTTTGTTACGTAAAATCGCCGACAAACAGGTCTCACGAGATACCGAGGTCTGACCGGATTCTTCTCTCCGAGCCTCTCACGTACGATTTCCATGGCGACAATCCTACCGTTGGGGATTCGTTTCTGCGCGTCGAAACGCGGCCATAATTACCAGCTCCCGAGGACCCTGGCCCCGTCGTCCGTTCGGGGAAACGTTCTTTTATTTATTAGCCCCGACCCAGCCTGCCTCTAATGGTCATTAGGATGATAATCGAGTCGCATAATTTCAGCCGGGTAATTTAATTAAATCACGCGATTTTTCGCGTCGTCGGTTCGTTATCTGCGAATCGCCGTGGTGCACGCGAGAATTAAGACTCGTGGAATCTCTTCGGCTCTTTGGTCGCCGTGCTCGTTCTAGAGCCTTTTGTTCACGCTCGAAACGGCCGACCTTCCACCCAGGTTGCTAGCTAAAATTGCGTACGACCAGTCGCGCGAACAAGCAGCAGCCGCACAAAGAGCCAACGTAATCTCTGAATCACGCGACGAGATATAGGCGAGCGACGATAATTATTCAAACGAGACGATTAATACGCAAATTCGAGAACTCTTTTCGTCTGGCGTCTCGCGCTTTTTGCGCAATCCACTGGCGAGCGAGATTTGATACTTTGGTGTAGACGACTCGCAGCGCGTGTGTCGAACGTGTTATCAGCGAGAGTTTCATCCAATGCCTGCGATTCGGAAAGGAAAATTAGCAATAGTCGGAAATTTATACGCTTTCCTGCGTATAATGAGATTAAACTTATCATAGCTTCAACAGACAATTTTTTAATTTTTTAATTTTTTATTAAAATTCTTCACTAGGAGTTATCGCTTTTGACAATCGATTTTTCCATTTTTACGCTTTCCTCGACATTAAAGATGTCATAACTTCGATAGACAATTTTGCAATTTCTTATTAAAATTCTCCACTAGGTGTTATCGCTTTCGACACTCGACTTTTCCATTTTTCTACGCTTTCCTCGAGATTAAAGCTATCATAGCTATAACAGGCAATTTTTCAATTCTTTAATTTTTTATTAAAATTCTTCTCTAGGAGTTATCGTTTTTGACAATCGATTTTTCCATTTTTACGCTTTCCTCGACATTAAAGATGTCATAGCTTCGATAGACAATTTTGCAATTTCTTATTAAAATTCTCCACTAGGTGTTATCGCTTTCGACACTCGACATTAAAGATGTCATAGCTTCGATAGACAATTTTGCAATTTCTTATTAAAATTCTCCACTAGGTGTTATCGCTTTCGACACTCGACTTTTCCATTTTTCTACGCTTTCCTCGAGATTAAAGCTATCATAGCTATAACAGGCAATTTTTCAATTCTTTAATTTTTTATTAAAATTCTCCACTAGGTGTTATCGCTTTCGACACTCGACTTTTCCATTTTTCATTCAATACGCGTTTATCATTTTCTAGTATCTCGTCTCACTCTAATTCCTTTTACAATTTTTCTTTTTTATCTTCTTCCATTTCTCTATTTATCAGCTACTCGACTGGTCATGGTAGGTTCAGTGTCAAATTTGAAAGCAATTTTGACTATACTGTATCCCAACTAGTTCCAAATTTTTCTAATCGATAATTTATCCATTTTGGCATGTTCCTATCAAATTGAAATAACAAAAGGTAATTAAGGGTTAATTTCGGTGTCATATACATGAATCGCGTGAACAAGTGCACGTTAACTTTGCCAGGAACGACTGCACGATTTTAGAAACAGGAAAAAAGAATTCTGGAACCGGCCATCTTGACTTTGACTCGGTACTGGCGTTAAGAATAGCCGTCGCATGACTCGAACGAGATTTTCAGCGAGCACGTGAATGTCTTTGTCTCTGTCGCTAGGCACCTATCGTTATCGCGATCCAGCGATCTCGTTAAACCATGTACAATCCCCAAACTTCCAACTCTATCCCTCGATCGGAGGCTCGGTATCTCGCGTATGTCGCAATTTAGACACGATCGAAATCTCTGTACGGAAATTCGCTCGGTTATCACGGAGCATTACCAATTGGACGGATACGAGAATCCGAATCCGGTGAAAAATTTTCCACGTAAAAATTCGATAGATCGTTACGAAATGGTAAAAATTCGGAGCCTCCTATCCTCGATCCGAAGCCGGAGAACACGTGTCGAGGAACAACGACTCGAGAGAACCACGGGCGACCACAAAGGACGAAAATCATGGCCAGGATCGTGACGCAAGACCACTCTCGGCCCGAGTCCAAGGAGGTTCACGAACCATGCCTCGGGAGAGGGGATAGTGGAGTGACTGTGAGCGCAGACAGAGCGTTAATTATTCCGTGTCCGTGCACGTGCAGGGCCGTGAAAATCCGATCGGGCCACGGGAGCCTCTAGGAATTCCCCTTTT